AAACAACAAAAATTTCGTTGCTAGTGGTACCATGAATGTGATCAGTGTACGTGCACCTACAAAAAGTCCGGCCTTGTACTTGGGTCTACCGTACCCGCAGGATCTCGTTATTGGATAAATCCTTTTAATAAAAACTCTCATACTGTATTCTTAATATACATACTTTTATAAAACTAGCTTATGAAAGTAATAACCCTTGTTATACATCTGCATACAATACCTTATAATTTGGATATTTGGTAGAAGTATGGTAAAATTACTTTTCGTAGGTATTCATAAAATTTGATGATTTAATAAACCAAATTGTACCAAGAAAAGCATTTTTATTCGGGGTTATGTATACATACTAGTAACATTCGTACAAAATGCACTACATAATTTTAATTAATTGCTAAATTAGAGTTACTAGTGGGTGCCTGCGACTTCGTCTGCGTAAAAAATTGGTGTCGTATATGAACTTACGACCCCCTTTTCACCCCCTTAAAGGTGATTATAATTATTGACATTAAAAACTATCCTAAGTCCTTTTCCGGGACTCTTTTTTTTACCAAATTAAATCGGTTCGGCAGTTTAAGCGTGAAAAAGCAACAAAAAGACAGACACACTTTCGCATTTATAATATCTCAACTAACACACTGGCTGTATTAATAGCGATATAACAGCCGTTTAATGGAAACTGACGACGGCTTCAGCTGTATAAAGAAGCTCTACAGTATTTGTATAAGCGGCTACACAGCTTTTGTACCTTCAAATTGGGCTAAATTATACAGCTTATAACTACAAGCGCTCTATAGGGGCCGTCAACAAGTTTTAATGTGGTCAGCTCTTTTTGAGTAAACTTCTTAAATTGTAATAATGACTAGCTTTTACCTGCGACTTCGTCCGCGTGGACTTAGTGATTCAGATAGAAAAATATTTACCAAATCTGCTTTTTCATCAATCTGCTTACTATTTAAAGAACATAAATAACGCGGCAATTATTTTTTTATATAGATAGGCCCGACAAATGATTCCACCCCACCTGATGTTAAGTGAAGGTGAAGTCCGGACGCGAAGACAGCTGAAACAACAGCCACCTCTACCTGCCACATCCTCACCCTGCCGGCCTGCATTTTGCTTCTTCACCCCGCTTTTAAAGGATCCCAGGTTGTAAGAGGGAGGGAACACGTGAGCGGGCAGAGCAGTACATTTACGGATAGTGCGACAAAAAAATGAGTCACCAAATTTCTTTGTACGCGTTGGAATTGTGGCCACAGTTAGACGGTAACAACGTAATCCAGCGCGCGTGGTCCTCTGAAGGAAAGGGGAAGGTGGAATAAGAGAGAATAATTCCTCAGAACACTCGCCGTGGTACAGACGATAGAACGCGCTAAGTGACGCCACGTCACGGCGTAATTGAAGAGGCTCGATTTGTTTAGTCACCTCCTCATTGCCTATGATGCGGATCACGCGCCGCTGTAACCTATCTAAAGCATCGAGCAAGTACTTGGCGGAGCCATCCCAGAAGTGCGAGCAATATTTCACGCAAGACCGCACCTGCGTCTTACACAACAAGCACAGTTGCTCGGTCATGAAAAAACCCCGCACCTTGTTCAGGACTCCGAGATTGCGTGAGGCCGTTTTTATCACACTTTCGATGTAATTCATTGGATTTAAGTCACAGCGAATCTCCATACCGAGCATGGTGATACTAGCTCCAGTGTTGTGCCCTGACGAGAAGGACATGAAAGAAATGGCGACATTTTTGCCGTGAAAGCGCAGACCTGGATTTTCTTAGCATTGAACTCAACAATATGGTCCAATGCCTGATTGAGTTCAATGACAAGATTCTCCCGTTTTTCCTTGGTTACCGCCTGCCCAGGTTCTGGGTAATTTAAAATTAAAAACGCAATACAACGAGTGCAATTCGAAATCCAGTTATATTGTAAAAATATACATAAATCCTGACGTGACTCAGATCGGTTTCAGAGCAGAACAGAGAAACTTACAAAAGTATTACGAAAAACCTAAAATAATAAGGTAATGATTGTCTAGGATGGAAGTACTGTAGCCAGTAAAAAGATTACTTAACGATGTGATAGCTTTAGTCTGTTAGTATTAGTAGTAATAATCACTGTGATTTATTACCAGATGAACAAAGAGGTATACATTTTGGAAACCGGCAAAACTGTTGAATTTGGCAAAAGTAAGGATCGAGGACTTACAACATACTTTTCTGATAGGCCCTAGGGGAACGTGTCTATGAGATAAAAGCGTGACTTAAATGGGCCTTAGTAAAAGTACTTGTGCACTACAGTAACAGTAAAAGGTCTGATAACGACCAATTAGCACTTATAAATGAACAGTACGTAAATCATTCAGTAGAGTTCTTAAACACTTTGAATATAACGCTGGTATTCCATCTCACAAACTATTACCACTTATTGATATGCTTATCATGTTTCAATTTACCTAAAATAAGTCTTTGTTGTGAATTTGTCATTACAAATACCTAATTATTAAACAGAAGGCAGCAGAAGGTGATAATTTAACAGATGAACTGTTCAGCACACTTTATATTTGTTGAAGTCATCATCATCTCAACCGTACGACGTTCACTGCTGAGCAAGGCCTCCCCCAATGATCTCCACGTCGATTGGTCCTGTGCCACGCGCACCCATCGGCTTCCCGTAATCTTCATCAGATCGTCGTTCGAGGATCAGTCGTCGAGCGTCGTCCGGTGCGTGGTCGCCATTCGAGAACCTTTTTCGCCCCAACGGCCATCGGTTCTCCTCGCTATGTGTCCCGCCCACTGCTACTTAAGCTGAGCAATCCTTCGAGCGATGTCGGGTACTTTAGATCTCCTGCGGATTTCCTTATTTCTGATTCTATCATCACATTCATAGGGAAATACCAAGCATCGCTCTCTCCATTGCCCGCTGTGCGACCTTGAGCCGTCTTATGAGACCCATAGTAAGAGACCACGTTTCGCTTCCATAAGTCATCACTGGCAACACACACTGGCCAAAGACGTGTGCTAGTTGTGATTAGTATGGAGTATGGATGTGGTGCAGCCATTCTTACGAAGAACTCGTGGAATAGTGGATGTCACGTGATAGTTGCATAAAGTTTCTTTTTAATCTAACGTACCCATATAAAATAAAAAAAGATATCTAAACGAATCTCGTTACTAACCCACATATCTAGTAAATTCTTTACGTTTCACTGAAACATACACAAAAATGACAACCCTATTGCTCTACAATACTTTGATATGTAAAAATCTGAATATTTAGCTACTACTACGAATTTATAAATAAGACTTTACCGAGAATAAAGAATCGAGTTCACTGACTCATAATTGGGCCATTAACATTAAATAAAACGTAAGTAACCACATCCCAAAGTCTATTTAATTAGCGAATGACCGTATTTGAAAGCCATAAAAGCTTCACACAAGTAAATTTTATTTAAAACTTCGCCGACTTCTTTGATACGTGGTTAATGTTTTAATGTGGTATTTAACACTGCGTTTTTATAACGAAGATGTTATCGAAATTATTATGTTTTCTATAGAAATTTATCCCGTGTATACGAAAGCCATATCTGGTTTAACTTTTATAATTAACAGTGTCAATAGCAAAGAAAATACGTTTAAGCTGAAAATCGGATGGGTATTTATTGAACAACTCGAAAAGCCAAGACTAAATTTGTGATATTTGCCGTAGCGAGATGAGATGAGACCATACTTCTTTAATTTAATGATATGAAATAATTAAAGAAGTAATCAATTTTTGGAAACCAAAGGGGTCAATTTTTTTTTATAGATAGTTCCGACAAATGACTCCACCCCACCTGATGTTAAGTGGAGGTGAAGTCCAGACGCGAAGATAGCTGATACAGCAGTTCTACCTGCCACACCAGCCATCCTCACCCTGACGGCCTGCATTTTGCTTCTTTACGCCTCTTTTAAAGGATACCAGGTTGTAAGAGGGAGGAAGCCGTGAGCGGGCAGAGCATTCCATTTACGGATAGTCCGACAAAGAAATGAGTCACCAAATTTCTTTGTACGCGTTGGAATTGTAGCCACAGTTAGACGGTGACAACGTAAGCCAGCGCGCGTGGTCCTCTGAAGGAAAGGGGAAGGTGGAATAAGAGAGAATAACTCCTCAGAACACTCGCCGTGGTAGAGACGATAGAACGCGCTTAGTGACGCCACGGCACGGCGTAATTGAAGAGGCTCGAGGTGTTTAGTCACCTCCTCATCGCCTATGATGCGTATTGCGCGCCGCTGTAACCTATCCAAAGCATCGAGCAAGTACTTGGCAGAGCCATCCCAGAGGTGCGAGCAATATTCCACGCAAGACCGCACCTGCGTCTTATATAACGAGCTGAGTTCCTCGGGCGTGAAAAAACGCCACACCTTGTTCAGGACTCCCGAGTTCACAGTTCCCAAGTCAATAATATATCGCAGATACTGGATCTACTACAATATTGATATTTTCAGTGTTGTGGTACCGTTACCAATCATTATTGTTTCACACACGGGTGTGAGATAGACAGCAGACTGATAAATTGATTTGTAGTAAAAGTCAATACTAATATTCTCATCTCATCTTAATTGGACTTTTACTTTGTCTATCTGTATTTGTCGTTCAAAGCGAAGAAATGTGCTTGAATTTAATGCGTGGTAATGAATGAGACAAAAAACAAAATCTAGCTGACACATTGTATAGGTAGGTATGTGATCTGATTGTCTGAAGTGACAACAAGCCTGTAATGTTTTGATATCAAATGTGACCCAGGGAGGTGTGGTCATAGGCACGTTACCTATTTATAGTCTCACGTGTTACACCTTTGATACTCTGCTAACCTCACAAACCCCTTGTTTTTTTTAATCTTAAGAAAATGTTGCTAGTCAAAGTCGAAATAGGATTTATCAAAGTGGCATCGAACCAATAAATACTATTTTTTCCGAACATTACCGAATAACAAATAACACGTATTTTTGTCACTTACAGGGAAAAATCTTTACAACAACGAGCATGTAGCCATCAAAATGGAGCCGATGAAGTCGAAGGCGCCGCAGTTGCATCTCGAGTACAGATTCTACAAGTTACTTGGCACACACGGTACGTCTCAACATTAATTTAAATGTAGAATTGTAGATACATAACTCCTCAGTGAATCAATCTCGTCAAATCCCATCACTGAAGTCATCTAGCTCTGGCGAATATTAAACTGGCTAATGTTTCCTATTGTTATTTAAAAAATATATATTAAAAAAAAGTAGTTCGCTAAGTCAAGTTATCCTGAGCAAATTTTGCCAAGGAAAAATTTGTAGGAACGACTGTGAATATAATGAAATGCAGCTCACTCAATTTTTACTGAATTGAATAGCATGAGTCGTAGACTGACATCAAATTGAATAGGCTACTAAGTTCAATGTAACAAGTGCTTATAATTTTGCTGTCTCTAGTGAACACTGAATGGAATATATATATACTTATCACATATAAGTCATACAAGTAGCAATATAATGACTTTTTGAGAATACATATTATATACCTTTGCGCATTTGTAGTTGGATACGATTATTCCATAAATATTTTAGTATGGTTTAAGATTGAGCGAAAGGTTTTATTTTTGATTCACATATCCGATACGTTGCAATTACCAAGTTCGTAGTTAATTTGAATTCGTAAGAATAATCACTGTTCCCTGGAAGTCGCACAGGACCAGATGCAATGCGTTTTAATTACTTCCTTACGTAATATTATTCTAGCTTCATAGTTTGTGCAAAGCACTTCCAAGGTTTCAGTGTAAATGCTTAAGGAAATTTAAATCGAATTTTCACACGCAAATATTTTCAGCGACAATGCAGGCTACCTTAACATTGAAGTAAACAATTAAATATATAGGTAGCAGAATTAAAAAAAAATATGGCGTCGTCCTCATTCGTAACGATCGTACGATGACACGATGCGTTCTCGTCGTGCGATGGTTTTTGAAACATAAAGATTTCTTTAGAAGTGTCCAAATACAACTCGTAAGCCGTCGCATGAGCACAGGTACACTATTTTCATCTCACGATGAGATTGTATCGTGTCATCGTACGATCGCTGGCAAATAGGACGACGCCTATGATGGGCCTAATATATTTTTTGTACAAACATAACTGACATGGATTTGTTGGGTCAAAGAGATTTAGTTTGTTGCACGAAGCCAATAAATGGTGTTGTTAATTAGATTAACGCTTTAGCAAAAGTTGGTAATTAGGATGATAACCATAGGGCAATTAGAAATTGTATCATGTGCGTTTTATTTACAATATGAAATTCGTGTCTTTCTGGTAAAGTCCATTTATTTTAAAATTTAGAAATAAATTTATTAAAATTTTAAGTTACTGATGTGTTTGTTTAATTAAGTATTCTTCTTTTAATGTTTGAAACGTTTCAAAAGTTCATCGGCGTGTTTGCCATTAGACCACAAACTGATAAAAAAACTTAACCGCACCATTATCATGTTAATTCATTGTAACTACTAGCACAAAATGGTATAAATGGTACTTTCCCTGCATTGAAAACGTCACACGGACTTACCTACAACTCAAGTAATTCACTAATTCGATTATAAAATACGTATGAAGCGCAACTTATTTGAAAATTACGTATAATAAGCTAGCAGACCATGGTCATAACGCGCAAATCTAACCTACTGGGTATTTAGTTGCTAATTAGTTACACTATTCCCGATTTAGTTGCTCAATGCCTGTAAAAAATGCAAGCGATCTGCTAGATTAAGTCTTAACCTAGCAGACCACAATACTGTATCTTCGGTTCTCGTAAAGATATCGAAGTTCTGCAAACGGCATATTTAGTTGCGAATTAGTTGCTGTAGGACAGAATTATTTGTATTATCCCCCCATCATCCCCTAATTGCCGCACCAGCACCCACACTACCCCCGAAATATAGTAAAATTAAAAAGAGCTCATCAGAGAATATAAATTACGGCGTATTCTGTTGCTTATTAGTTGCTGCAAAATAGCGCTGCTTATAATACTTAATTATCAACCCTTAACTCCAGATCAGCACTGCTACCTCCCCAGAATAGGACGATATCGAAAAATTCTCTTAGGTGGAAAAAAGACGCGGCATATTTAGTTGCTAATTAGTTGCTCGCAAAAAACGCAATTAAGAGTATTCTACAATCATCCCCTAACCTCAGATCCACCCCCTCTACTCACTTAGAAACAGTAGATCGTTGGAATTCGCACGCAGATGTTTAAAACTGCTGGATGTTTTGTTGCTAATTAGTTGCTTAAGGACTGCATTATTTATATTATACCCCCAGCATCACCTTATTGCCACATTAACCTTTTTTTTCTTTCTTAACCCCCGCACTACCTACGGAATACGATAAAGTTAAAAAGAGGTCATCAGATAATATAAACTGCGGCATATTTTGTTGCTTATTAGTTGCTGCAAAATACCGTTGCTTATAGTATTTAATTATCAACCCTTAACTCCAGATCGGCACTGCAACCACCCCAGAATAGGACGATATCGGGAAATTCTCGTAGGTGGAAAAAAGACGCGCGATATTTAGTTGCTTATTATTTGCTCGACAAAAACGCAATTAAGAGTATACTACAATCATCCCCTAACCTCAGATCCAACCCCTCTACTCACTTAGAAACAGTAGATGGTTGGAATTTTTTAAATGGTTGTTTGGTTAAAAGATCTTTAAAACTGCTGGATGACCTCTTTTTCACATTATCGTATATAGAGGGTAGTGCGGGGCTTGATGTGGCAATAAGGTGATGCTTGGGGAATATAAATAATGTTGTCCTTAAGCAACTAATTAGCATCAAAATATCCAGCAGTTTTAAACATCTGCGAATCTGTGCGAATTCGAACCATCTACTATTTTTTAGTGAGTAGAGAGGGTGGATCTGAGGTTAGGGGATGATTGTAGGATACTCTTATCTGCGTTTTTGGCGAGCAACTAATTAGCAACTCTAAACATCCCGTGTCTTTTTTCCACCTACGAGAATTTTACGATATCGACCTATTCTGGGGTGGTTGCAGTGCTGATCTGGAGTTTAGGGTTGATAATTAAATACTATAAGCAACGCTATTTTGCAGCAACTAATTAGCAACAAAATATCCAGCAGTTTTAAACATCTGCGTGCAAATTCGAACCGTCTCCTATTTTTAAGTGAGTAGAGGGAATGGATCTGAGGTAAGCGGATAATTGTAGAATACTCTTAATTGCGTTTTTGGCGAGCAACTAATTAGCAACTAAATATGCCGCGTCTATTTTCCACCTACGAGAATTTTCCGATATCGACCTATTCTGGGGTGGTTGCAGGGATAATCTGGAGTTAAGGGTTAATAATATTTTTTTTTAAACAAGGCTATTTTGCAGCAACTAATTAGCAACAAAATACGCCGTAATTTATATTATCTGATGACCTCTTTTTAAGTTCATCGTATTTCGTAGGTAGTGCGGGGGTCAAAAATCAAATCGGGAATAGTGTAACTAATTAGCAACTAAACACCCAGTAGGTTAGATATGCGCGTTGCGACCATGGTCTGCTAGCTTAATATACGTTTGAAAATTGCGTATTACCTGAGAATGCAATTCGTTGCCTGGCAGTCGATTTAAATATTTACAGACTGACATCATTGGGTAGGCGCGCAGTAAAGCGCATCCCATAAATGAAAAAATATACTGGTAGTGAACAATTTTGCAAAAGATGCATAAAACGAAATCAGAGAAATCAATCATAAAAACCTTTTCGAAACACAACTGTTTAGTAGATATATTCAGTACCTAAGTAGACTGATCGTAAAGTTTGCCTAGAGGGTGTACCGAAAGTGTACTACTTGGGCACATGTGGCGGCCGCTACAACGCTATGGTCATGGAGTTGTTAGGGCCCTCGCTCGAAGATCTATTCGTCCATTGCGGCCGAAGGTTCAGACTGAAGACGGTCCTTATGATCGCTATGCAACTTGTAAGTGCCCGCCACGATGCTAAGTAGATGATAACATTGTGTAATACGGCGCAACACCGTAACCGATATTGAACTGTAATTTATTTTTCATGTTTTCGAGGGTAACCGCAAGCCGTGGTCATGGTCGTTGTTCAGGCCGGCCATTGTAGCTCGGTATCAGCCGTAGCCTCCGTATCGTTGCTCTAATTTAGCATATTTTTTATTGTTAATTTTATAATAATCTTTAATGCTCCCAACGATATAGTGGCTGCGACGCTATCTATTTTTTTGTCGTATAACGCAGCAATGCTCTCGCGGGTCACTGTTGACCGGTTCATATATCGGGTGCAGTGTTGTGTCTGGTTGGTGCGTGCGAGAGCAATGCTCGTCCCATACCTATACCGTGAGTACTGATTGTTGTTTTCTGTTCCCTTCCGTTCCCATACCCATATCCTTGGCTCCTGTAGCGCCGTCGACGGCTGAGGGCATACCGGAGGTATATTACTTCGGCCCGTGCGGTAAATACAATGCTCTGGTGATGGAACTGCTGGGTCCGTCGCTCGAGGATCTCTTCGACCTGTGCGGCCGCCGTTTCTCTCTAAAGACTGTACTAATGATCGCTATGCAGTTGGTAAGTTGTTTGACGTAGTTGTCTGCGTTCTATTTACATGATGCCTGTTGGGTTAAGCATCTATAGTGAACTGACGAAAAATGAACTTGTCAAGTGGCTAGTCACAAAACTTGTGAACGATATGTCAACTTTGGACTGTGTCGCAAAATAATTTATGTACGCAGTTCAGTAATAGTTCAATAGTCATCGTGTAAAGCTGGCATTAAGCATATAATTATAGTTAAATTTTATTTAAAATCTGGAATCCTAGATGCAATACAGTTAGTTTCATTAAATAAATTGTGATCTTCAATTAATGCCAAATTAAACTGTCTTGAGTTCAGTAATCGATGAGCGCAACTATTAAACAGGTGAACTTGTAACCTTGACGGGGTCAATGTGAAATTGGAATCACACCCAATAAATAATTGTGAAATTACCTATATTTATAGAATATCAATAAAACTTGCCATGGAATCGACCATGCCATTCGAAGAAACGTGCCACTAAAAATGCGGCGTGACGAAGTATATTGTTAACTCGTTTGACAATCTTATCATATTTTCACGTAGTATATTATCACGATAATCGCAATTGAATGAGTATTGAAAACTTCAAAGAATAATGAACAGATGTTTTCTTTTGTGTATGTACTTCTTGCTTATTGTTTTTCTGTTTATTATAATTTTACAACGGCAACCAAGTTTAGTAGTAAAATAAAACTGTTATAATACTGATATCTTATATATAAAATTCTCGTGTCACAGTTAGTTACCATACTCCTCCGAAACGGCCTGATCGATTTTTATGAAATTTTATATGCATATTCCGTGGGTCTGAGAATCGGCTACTATCTTTTTTTATATCCTTAAGTGATAATTGCTGTACACCTGTAACGTAGTGTTCTGAAACCTAAAATGCGCCTTCGCGCCCAAATTCATACTATTGGGTATTGTAACGTAGTGTTCTCATATGGGTTAGGAGGAATGTTATCCCAGGAAATTGATAGAACACTACGTTACACATCATGCCTAAAATTTTTTTGGACAATATTTATTTTTTTATAATGTGGTATTAAAAAATACATACAACCCTAAATTTCTCTTCTACCATTTACCCCTATTTTTATGGCGGTACGAAGTTCGCTGGTTCAACTAGTAATCTATAAATGTTTTTGTCAATTCTTAAATTTTAATATTTGTTAGAGGGTGTTTTTTTTTTATGTTATAGGGGGCATACGAGCAGACGGCTCACCTGATGGTAAGTGATTACCGTCGCCCATGAACACTTGCAACGCCAGGAGTATCACAAATGCGATACCGGCCTTTAAGGAAGGAGTACGCCCTTTTTTTGAAGGGTGTATATTAAAAAATATTCTGGTTCTGAACTCGTGGTCACAACAAGTTGATTTGTTACATAGGCAGATTTTCTCACAGTATAGGAAATGTTCACAATTAATATGTTTACATGAGCACCGCACAGGGGATATACATGCAGATTTATTGTTCGTTATATACCGTTCATAATATTATAGCTGTCGATAGTTTTACAGTCCGCATCGAATAAAACCACGTTGAATGGGCGACTGATTGTCCCTCTATGTTTCAGTTGCACCGCATCGAATATGTCCACACGAGACACCTTATATATCGGGACGTGAAGCCCGAGAATTTTTTAATAGGTAGAACTGCAACAAAAAGGGAAAAAATCATTCACATCATTGGTAAGTATATAAAATATATATACATATATATTTTACTTAATGGAAAAAAATTAACTTTTCTTAAAATATAGTCTTTACTCTTCTTATGTAATTAGGGGTTTTAACGCTTATTTAAATAAATTTATTCTTCTATTAAAAATATCGAGTATAATGAGTAGTCCTTATCACATTAAAAGTGGGTCGTACTGAAATTACTAATTCATTTATTGATATTGAAACGGGACAGTATAATTAGAGGTATTGTTTTTATATCAAAATACCGAATAGTATTACATAAAATAGACTGAGTGAAGAGAGCAGTCATTGTTCGGTGAAAATCGAAGGTCTTTTACAAGGTAAATCACGACAGCTAAGCAGGCATTGGTACTCGCTGTAGTTCTATTCTTAGTACTTTGATTTTGTACCACAAGTACATTGTAATATTGTTTATAGCTAATGTAAAAGACGTCGTACTTAAGTATTAAAAGTTATCGTCTTTAGTATCGGTGTAATTCCATCCTAACTTTGTGGTTACGCTACCGCGTATACTTGACTACATAGCCTTATAAACAAGTTTGCATATAAGCAACTACTCTTAGCTTAACGTTAAAAATATGTTATTTTTTTTATTTGTGAGGGAACTGCTGTCGACAAATCGAGTTGCAGTGTGGCAGACTTAGAATATAAGTATTGTACCCATGTATTAAAATAAAATAAAAAAAAATATTGACAAACCAATCATTCATAATTCTTGTATTTAGTAGGGATAATGACTAACTTTTTTCTTCGTCTATCAGGTAGATTATCAAAAAGGTATATGTGTCCAATACTTTTTGATAATGTACCTGATATAACATTTTTTTTTATTAATTTCATTAAAAGATTACAGAGATTTATTGATTTGAAATGTCGCATGACGTCACTTCTTGGTACATTTTTTACTTAGAAGTGGGGTAACGAGTCTCCACTCTCAAATTTTGACGCGCTTTCTTTGTAATTTTTTGCTTGATTGACAAAAGAAAAAAATAGTGTACAATTTTTTTCTGACAATCTTACTGGCGGACTACATAGAATTTGCTTTCCTTTACCCCGTCATCCTCCTATTTGTAAAAGTATGGTTTCTGTTTTTCTTCTTACATAAACACACCGAAACAGCTGTATTGATTTGGGTACTTCTTTTAGAAAATGCCATGCATGAAATTTTCGAATACGCAGACCGTTTAGTAAGCGAACAGGCTTTCTACCTGTTAGTATTCACAGAAATATCTAAATTTAAAACATACAGTACATATAATTATGAATAGTATGGTATTCATTAAGTAGATAAAAGGGCAATATTTGCCTCTTTTATGTTTGCTGTGCCGTGGCAGGGCGTCACGGTCATGTAATTTAAAATTTGTAACATCTGTTGACCCTTGGGATTTCCAAATAAAATAAATAAATACTGAATTTCAGACGCTTTAGGAAGATACCAATTTTATTAATTTGCAGTCTTTTTTAGGAAGACAAAACACTGCATTTTACTCGTGTTACATTTCGTAAATTTTCGTGCTTACGTATAAGTATGTTATACCTTATTATGTAGCAGTTATGAAAATTAAATATTATGAATGAGATTGTCGATCGATTTTTCACTTGTTCAATATGTGCTGAATAAATCTACTTGCTAATATCGGATTAAATTCCAATTATATACGAGTCCTCGTAGCATGAGCATCTCAATTTACATTTACACATTTCATGTCGCGTCTAACTGTCAAGCTCTATGGTAAAATGACAATTAAGCTTGATAAAAACGAGTTATAATTGATATTACGGTGCTCATGCTAAGGGGACTTATTCCTTGTTAATACTTTATGGAACATCTACTATATAAAATAATTTATTTCGTTTTCAGATTTTGGTTTGGCCAAAGAATACATAGACTTAGAGACAAACAAACATATTCCATATCGGGAGCACAAGTCACTCACAGGGACTGCGCGATATATGTCAATAAACACACATTTAGGAAAAGGTAATACAACTTGAAAAAACCGCACTGCAAACTGACTCTAATGTGGTTTTGAAATAAAATTAATAACAAAACGTACATAATTTTACACGATTCTTCTAATATAACTTGTTTTTTTTTTCAGAACAATCTAGACGCGATGACCTAGAGGCTCTCGGGCATATGTTTATGTATTTTTTACGTGGTTCCTTACCCTGGCAGGGTTTAAAAGCTGATACACTCAAAGAAAGATACCAAAAAATTGGTGACACCAAGCGGGCAACACCGATAGAGGTTAGTGGCAACGATTTTCTTCGTGGTTGACTTTTTCTGACAATATTCTTACAGGTTTAAGATTGACAGCTTGAATAAATGTATGGAAAATACTCCCAAAATTCTAGATTTATATACAAAATTAAGTTATATAAGTTTATTTTTTGCTGTGTGGACTGATATTCCTTTGCATTCCTAAACATTGGAGATTTTAGTAAAAACGTAACTGGAATTGTATATATGTGTGAAACTGATATAACAACGCACAGATTAAAGTACATTATTGTTTCATACCTAAACCCGTTTTTATGAAAACTGTTTATCATCATGTTTTATATCTGCCGAACCTGCTATATTCGTTACTTAACATGAAGTGATGTGAAGCAATTTCTTAGACTTTGGATTAAAAACAAAAAGGACATTCGATTCAGTCTTAGTCATTATTTGGAAGCAATACTTAGAGAATGGTAATTCATCGTCTATAATAGCTAACGAAATTGTCCTGTCTATTGACTGACCGGATTATCCGTTATTTTGTGTCCATCCATAATCATTAAATGAATTATATAGAAGGCTATATTACAAACAACTAAATTACAATAAGAAAAAATTTTTGGGCACTATAGTAAGAAGTCCATTCGCCATTGTGTGCTAGTTTTCGCTCGAGTAGCGTCCCCCCTAACGCGACACTCCTCACTGGTGCATCGGCTAAACAAATCCAAACGCGTCAAGCCAATAAAATTCATTATCATTGTATATTATATTATTAATTGTATATTATATTCTACAGTAAAGCAAAGGATTTTTGGGTACGAGTGATCAATAAGTAATTTAGTTTTCAATAACTCGATGCCTGATACTCAGAAATTTCAGTCGCGAGTGAGCCTTTAATTTCTCGCTTTTATAGTCCGAGTTTGACTTAGAACTAGGAGTAATCAGATCGCCTATAGCTATAGAATTCGGACAAACGATGAAGTATTCCGGCAGTTTTCGTTTTGGTTACCCGACGCTGTCTTCCAGCCTATGTTCGACTAAAAACAATGTAAATATTGCTTTGGGTGCCCCAATTCGAGTGATATCTTTCGTGTACCCGAATACCGGCTAACAACCAAATGTAAATGCTCCATTAGGTAGGGATACACAAATAATACATAATCGATTGTGATAACAAACCCTTTATCGTAGGTGTTATGCGAGGGCCACCCCGAAGAGCTAGCCACGTACCTCCGCTACGTGCGGCGGCTGGACTTCTTCGAGACGCCCGACTACGATCAGCTGCGGCGCATGTTCCGCGATCTGTTCGAGCGGCGCGGTTACGTGGACGACGGCGAGTTCGACTGGACCGGCAAGACGATGGTAAACAATACGATGATGTGATAGCACCACCCACACTAATAACGCTTACGCCCACATATACAAACACACTTCATAGAAACACACTTCAACACACTGGCCACGGTGGTTAGACTTCTTCGAGACGCCCGACTACGTTCAGCTGCGGCGCATGTTCCGCGATCTGTTCGAGCGGCGCGGGTACGTAGACGACGGTGACTTTGAATGAGCCGGCAAGACGATGGTAAACAATATGATGATGTGATTGCACCACCTACACTAATAACACTAACACATACACACTTGAACACACTGGCCAGGATGATTAGATTTCTTCGAGACGCCCGAATGCAATCAGCTGCAGCGCATGTTCCGCGATCTGTTCGAGCGGCGCGGGTACGAGGACGACGCCGGCGAGTTCGACTGGCCCATCAAGATGATGGTAAACAATACATTCATGTGATCGCACCACCCACACTAATAACACGTACACACACATATACATACACATTTCATACAAACACACTTCAACACACTGGCACGGTGGTTAGACTTCTTCGAGACGTCCGACTACGATCAGCTGCAGCGCATGTTCCGCGATCTATTCGAGCGCCGTGATTATGTGGACAACCGGGACTTTGACTGGACCGGCAAGACGATGGTAAACAATACGATGTTGTGATCGCACCACACACACTAATAACACTAACACACATACACAAACACACTTCAGCACATTGGCCACGGTAGTTGGAGACGTCCGACTACGATCAGCTGCGGCGTATGTTCCGCGATTTGTTTGAGCGCGCGTGTACGTAGACGGCGGTGACTTCGACTGGACCGGCAAGACGATGGAACAATACGATGATGTGAAGACATGAACATTGACAAAGATAATCAACATAAACTACGGTGTATGTTCCGCGACCAGTTCGTGATCACTCTCCCACACTAATAACACTAAAATTTGTAACAAACTAAGCAAAGTTCGCTTCACTTCGCTTCCGATGTGGCCCTGCGCTCAGACTATCCCACACACACACATACTAGCACTAGCAGCTAAGAAGCTGACTCGATTCTTTTCAAGTTAGAATTGCCGATAACGGTTACGATTATTTGTCTGTGTCATAATAAATCAAGATAATAGGGTAAAAATAGGATATGAATCCTAATGCATTTACAACTGTTAGACAGACGCACACTTCTCTTGCTCTATAAAAAAAATTTTGAAATAACATAGAGGCACATTTATTTCTTGTTATTTCTGCACATCATTTTAACTTTTTCATAATTTTCGTTTCCGACCTTTTTGTAAAAATAATCTAATAGTGCTACATAATGCTATTTTTATGTTTGCCTGGCAATATGTTTAGGGAATTTTCTATCTTACGCTATTGTGGGTACGTATTCTGAATGAATGCACTATTGGACCGCAATACCTTTTTATTTCATAGTACATTTTAATATAATGTGTTGATATTGATAATATACGTACTCACTTTCGCGTAACACAGGATTTTCTCTTTCATTAATATTTGTATGTTTATAATTCCGGCGTTCGCCGACAGGTAAACGAGCTTTTGGCTTCAAAGAATTTTAATCCTTATGGAGTTCGGTTAAAGTAAATTTTCCTCCATAACGAATTGCAACCTGTACGAAGAATCTCAACGCAACGCTCAAACTAAACTTTAACGTATTTAATAATTCCTAGTCATAACATCGAATGAGAAGGAAAATTATTTGCCTAAGCTTTGAATATATTATAATCTTGCTGTCCTATCAGTTAACGCCGGTATTTGTTAATTTTGCTGTTAATAACGTTTTTATCTGATATGTTCTTGCATGGTCCAAATTCTATTAAGCTTTACCTTGAGTTTTTAGTTATTTTTTTTTTGTTAAATCATTTTTATGCACCATGTATAAGGGTTGGACGTTAATTTTAACTTCACTATGACTTAAAGCATTTTTTTTTGCTAATCAGAAGAAAACCTAAACATTTTCATTAGCTTTATTCGATTTATGCAATATTGAAGTGCTTGGAATTTATATTTTTGTAACAAAACCTTTTATTTATCAGCCGAGTTGAATTATTCAAATCGAATGCCAGTCTCATGTCACGAAATGCATTATCAAAGTATTAATTTGAAGTTTCTTTTTTTTAATACAGCGAGTTTCTGATAGGATATGTAATAATTGGTATTTTATATTTAAAAATTACAAGAAGAATATATTATTTACGGCAATTGTCAAGAGTTATATACATGTTATTGTTAAAATCCTAGTTTTTTTTTATAATTTTGGAACTTTGCTTTTTACATTACTATGAACAAAATGCATTTGGTGCCATTTTTATTTGACATACGTCTATTTTGCTACTAGCTTAACCATGCTTGTTTGGTGTTTGGGATATTTAATAGTTTTTCTTGGCATTCCTTGAAACAGACTTAATGCAAACCATACTTATATGATAACTTACTATTTATTATAATTTTACCAGAATAGAAATACAAATATTTGAAACTCAAAAAGTATTACTGAAATACATATAATAATAACACATAATATGGTTTGCGTTATGTCACTATATGTATAACTAATTTTGTGAATATTACTTCTAAATATTATAATGTGATTAGGCTAGTTTATTAAGGTGGGAGTGTGTTTTTTTTTATTATTTCATGTACATTTTTTTCCTTTTGTCTTTCCCTTAATATTAAAAAAATTGTGCATGCTGCCACGTTCTCGGCTGCTGTGTTGACAAAAATAATATCTTACCGAAAAATATATATTGAAATGAATAAAATATCCATGTAAAAAAAATGAAAAATAAAAAAGATGTTAATAATGATTTGACATCTGGATTGTAAATGTGGAAGTGACCATCGAAATTATTTCAATTTCTAATCAAATATGACAGGGTTTATTTTGTAACAAAATTCTTTTTTTTATGTTGACCGAAGCTTACGCGTTTTATTTATTAATATTATTTTATTATAACCACGCAAATAACCAATGAAAGATTGTGAAGTAAATTAATGAATTGATTTCAATTACCAACACAAGTAGAAAAGTAAATATTTATTATTTGAATAATAAAATAAAAAAGTATAACTCAATGGTGTGGTTTCTTTGTAGATAGTTGTAGTTATTTTACTAACACAGCATTTGTTTGAAGTTTTGTTTGCACATTAACTTGTCTTATTCAGTTTTGATATTTAAATAAATTGATATTGATTTACACATTTATCCTTTTTTTAGGATACTAAAAACCTATAGCACAGCAAATTTTTTTAAGGAAAATAGACAAAACTGCGAACAAACTTGTTTTTGTTTATTTTGTGTCTAAAGAAATACCTAACGTAGAGGTTCACAGCAATTTGACACTTAACGACTCTAAATAAAAATTAACTTACATGTGTGTGTTGCATGCGCATGCTTTCGCTTACGCATGGCAGCCGACCAATATTCACGTGATGCGAATCTTGCGCAACGCTCCGCCATCAAATATCGTTAAAAATAAGTCCGACAAGGTTAGTGTGGAACTTTATGATATCATTCCAGCTAAGTTCATCGGTATTTCGACGCCAGCTAAAGGTTCTAAACGCGCTATGTACCAACATATTTATTTATTGATTATTTTTATAGCAATTAACAACTTAAAGTTGCACGATAATATTGTCACAATATTATTGTCTCTTATTCAATTCCTGAAGTTAATAATTTCGGCTACCAATCACAGTATCCAAACAGAGCATGATTTTTGTGATAGCATTTAAGGGTCCATATCCTCTATTCCTTCCCATACTTTTCCCTATTTTATCCATCATTTGCTATCGAAAAATACTGAATTCATGCATGAAAATCCGTCGTAATACAATTCATATTAACATTGTGCTTAGGCTAATGGTTCATAATTTCTTCTACCAATCACAATAAATAAATTAATTATCTTTGTTTGGATTTAGTTAGTATTCCATTTGTGGTGTAAGTAAAACTGTGTGACGCAAGATTTTATCGAGTAAGCTGTTTTTTTATATTTAAAGTAGACATGTCAACAATATTTAGATAATACATTACAGTTTTTATAAAAAGTAGTTTTTAGTTAATACTCACCATCATTTCACTAATGGTAGTTGTTCTAAAAATTCAAAAAATAATTACACCAATTGTTGTCTATTCTATGTATTTCTTTATTATTTCAGTCCACCCCAGTGGGTTCCATCCAGACGGGCCATGAAATCGTCGTATCACCGAACCGCGACCGACACCAACCTTTTCATAAGGTAAGCAATCAAGTTACAACCTTAAATCAACGAATTATGATTCATTTTACAAATTGAGTTGGGCTATGTTTACAGTTTATTTTATTATTCAATATTATATTACACTTACCACTTAAAGTAGAACTATATTAGAAAATCTAAATTATTTTTAATACAGTCGTACCATATCCAAATTGTTCAAAAATATTTACACGAATAAATTAAACTAACCGTCTAACAACAAAAAAACATACTTTTGCTTAAAGAAAGTTCTTATTTTTTTAATACGTTATGTTTTATATTAGGTTTTGTCGGGAGTCTTGAAAGGCCTAGTTAAAATTTCAAGTGTCAGGGTTTCTCACTATGGTTTTTTTGTCGGTGCAGGATGATTTGTGTGATTATATGATTGGTTTGGTTGAGGACGATGAGGCGGCGCTTATTTCTGGAGAGGTTTGGTCCCAAAATATAAACCCTGTATTTTATTAGAAGCCCTCCCCCTTTGCATCATCCGCTGCATCGATTTTTTTCCCGTCGTAGACATTTCTTTTGATAAATTGGTTTGCTAAACGTTTTTATGTGGTATCATCAAAATAAATTAAAATTAGTTTACTATTATTTCAAAAAATTGTTATTGCCGCATTGGATAAAATTTTCACCTAATGTATCATGCGTGAGTATTATGAGATAATTTACTTCACGGCTACAGTCTTCGTAGCTTAAATTACATTAAATAAAAAATAAAAATACAAATTAAAATTGAATGATTCGATTTAGTGGTTTTTTTTTAATATAGCAAATATGAAAAAGGTGCAGAATTAGTTGTTGTAATTTGAATCATAATATATCTACCCGTTGTTTAGAAGCCAATTTATTGATAAAATGTCCAAAATAAAACTCCAAATAATCTTCATTTTCATTATCAATGGCAGTTATTACTGGTGCCGTGAAAACTAATTTCTCTTATCATGCAAAAGTTTCTTTGAGTTTGATTTGTTTTTAAAATAAAATAGTAACAGGGTGTACTTATTTGTCAATAAACGAGTGTTTCAATATACATTGCATAAATAATGTGTCGTTTCCAAACAATTACCTACTGATAAATACAGTAAAACATACCATTTTGAGCTTTCGCCTAGTGCTTTTTTGGCTAGATGACCATGTTTTGTGTGTATTTTATGAGCTTTGCTGCCGATATGACACGATGTATTATGGGTTGATACTTATCTAAGTTAAGAACAAAACTACTTTCTTACTTCATAACAAATCATATTCAATTATATATTGCATAGGATTTGAACGTATAGCAAAAAACACACAAAAAAAGGAAGATCTGTATATATTATAATTATATATATATATATATATATTGAATCGTATTTACGGCTCGTATAATTACTAGAGGATTACTTATTAACGGAGCATCATCATTCAGCATAGCAGATTTATAATTATTGCGACTTCCTTAATTTCCAAGGGAATGATTGCGATTGGACCTTTGTATTCATTTAATATAAAATACATTTGACTTAGTGGTTAATTAAAAACGAATTTCAGATTGTATCACAACTGTAGTAAAATACTGTTTATGGAACTTTTTAAAACTACATTTATAAGGTATTATAATTATAAGTAATTTAATATATTAGATTTTGTACAGCCCCTAATACGAATTCTGTGTAAACAGAGCTAGAAGTGTGTAGTTGCATTCCAATTGAAAAATGACGTTTAATTAAATGTACTGGAGCTTGAAAATTCCTCAATAGAAGAGATAGTGTTTTGATTTTATCATACCAGTTTTATTTTTGTGAATGCTATGTTTTTATTTTTATTTTCTTTATATCCAAGTTTTACTATGGAAAGGTATTGATAGTATTACACGAGTTTAATTGAAAATTATAAATAGAAAATAATTTAAGAGGCTGGAACTATTCCAGTACCACTATTGTAATGTAAGTATTTAAAATTAACATATTTATGTAAAAGCCAGTAATCAACAGTACCACATCATTTTAGTGTATGGTAGTTAAATCATAAATTATATCGTATCACCGAAATATTTATAGATATATATCTTTTAAAAAATGGCGGATTGGTAGCACCGTTCAATTTAACTCGTATCTTTATAGCCCTAAGCTGATTAAACAGTAAATATCCTAAAACGTTTAGTTCTGCATTACTTTAAATAACAAAGTAAAAATAAAAACTGATTGGGATATATTTCAGAGAATTAAGAAATAAAAAAAATAGGTTTAACCGTTTCTAACAAATATTGGGAAACAAACCACACTGCGACTTAGGTAAGTACTGGGTATATATAGCGTGATATTGCAGGGCGCGGTAAAGGACACCGGTACTGGCGGTACCACGAACACCGGCAACTGGCCCACTAGTGGGAAAGCCACCCCACTCACCACGGGACACCTCACGCCCGCCGATAGACACGGTTCTGTACAGGTAAATCCCGGGATTTATACTGAATATGGGTATTATGTATCAGATTCTCCTTGATGCGATTCAGAGGCTTAAGCACGAATTTTTGACCGCTTTGCAATCGTATCGTCAATTTTTGTATAGAAGGAGCCAGTTTTGCTTACGTTCGGTGGCGGCGCTGTTTAATTTCATAGAATTTTAAAATTTTATGAAATACGATGCGATTTGGAGCTGTCAAAATTCGTGCTTGGGCTTCTGATGTTGCGTTTTCACTTTACCACGAGTGTTACAACCGTACTACTATATTGAAAAAGTTAAAGGATTTTTGTTTTATAGTATGTAGAATAGATATATTTTTTTCTCCTTGTTGCGATTCTGATAGTGTGTGTTCACTTTACCACGAGTGTTACAATCTATATTGCAAGAGTTTAAGCCCTTTTTTGTTTTGTTTGTGATTAAGTATCTCACTATCTAGCAAATAATTCTGATGATGATTAAGGTAAAGAACGATGTCTATTTAAGTTTAATAATAAAATTTAAGTTCTATAAAAACTTCCAAACTTATATCACAGAAACGGAAAAAAATAAAAACTCAAAAATAACAATCAATGTTATATGTATGATATTGATTATTTTATATAATTAAGTTACATCAAATTTTGCAAAGTCAATGCTTTATGTAAATTATCATGTGTACATGATATTCCTTATATTATTATGTTATTCTATTTACATTTATATTGAATATTCGAAATGGGGTAAGTTTTATATGGAGACAAACCGTAAACACTTTACAAACAGCAGGTATTATGTTCCGTATAGAAGCATTATTTGTCAAAATAAAAGTATTTAAAGTTTTGCACACAAAAATATGGTATATGCATACATACAATATATTAATTTATACCGAACTACATAGTAATTATGTAGATCTAATTATACAGGGTGTTGCAAAAATACAAATAAAGCTTGGAGAGCGTTGAAGTACACCATATAAGGAGTCTTCTCTGATTTTCATAAAATATTAGCATGAAGTTTTAACTTTTTATAAAAACAGTTATTTTTAATGATTAATAAAAATATCGATCATTTTAAGACACGTCACTAGTTCGAGGATATACAATATATATAATATAATTATTATATTGTTATAAACATTATCAATAAGGAAAGCCAAGTTCAGATGGTCACACGTCGTCAAGCGTGATCGCGCGTCAAAATAGTTCAGATGACAAGCGATAACACACGGCTACCCTAATTCATTTTTAGCTGTACCATAGGTTGGTACGCAACAAGTCGAGAGGAGCATTTAAACATGCCGATACTATAGAAACTAAATACACGCGCGTTAACGAGCGTATCAAGATACCTGCGACAGAGTAGCAACATCTGAACGGACCAATGTTATGTTTTAAAAACTGCGCGATGATAGAAATACAACGTCGGAAATGCACGTTTTCTAATTACGCTTTAGTGATAATTAATTGAATATCTTTTAATTATAGAAATATATTCTTCGCGATATTTAATATTACTGTCTCTCTTTTCATATTACAGCAAGATTACGATTAGATTTCGGTGACATGCATATATATACCTTATTGTATTATTTTTGAAACTTCCGATGCATGCTTGCGGACATTATACGTTTTTATTTATGCATTTTATTTCTTTCTTATGTAAATTGTGAATGTATATTGGTGTATTTATTTTTTAGCTATTGAAGAATAAACATTTTCGGTATGTGAAATTTCCCGGATCCGTATCAACGGTCAGTTTGAACATTTTGCGACAAAGTGTGTCTGCATGAGGCTTACTATTCGTATTTGCGTGCTCTGTGTAATTACGCTTTGAAAGCACTGCCGAATTGCCAATATTCACTCATGAGAATCCATAGTCGGCTTATGATCATTTAACAAACAATATACCTTAGTTAACAGCAAACAATTATATTAAAATGGTGCACTATAAATTGATTCAAATCAATTTAACTCTAGATAGCTAACCTCCGTCGTATTGACGGACAATGAAAAAAATGTCGCTGTATCTTTTTAACGCCGCGTCCAAATGTGTTTTCTCGGCTAGCCAATGCCGACGCCGGCGAGCCCATTGCAGTGGCGCACGCGGGAAACAGATTAATGTCATAGTTTTTGAGGTTAAGGGACCTTTGCCCGCCGTTTCGTCGGTTAGGTTTACCGTCAGTCTCGCACAGAGAGGAAACCCCATCTCGCGTAGAGATTTTAGGAAAAAACTACATTTACAACTTGTAGAGCCCCCCGGCTACACGCAAGATTGGTAAAATCACCATGCGAAATGGCCAACCCAAGTAAAAGTGACCTCCAGGAGCGTTCTTTAATGCAATGTCAAGATGACCAGTCAAATCTTCTTCAAACTGGCTTTGAAAAGAAGTTGACTGCTGATCTTGACTGGTGGATGGTGAAAACGGAAAAGAACCAACAACATCTTCATTATCATCAGCTATTAACATCTACACTGCTAGGAAACAGGCCTTCCCTATGGATGGAATAGGGAGATTAGACCATGACCCACCACGCGGACCCAGTGCGGATTGGTGGGCGCTAACGACTGCAGATCTAGCCGGTAACAACGGCTTAACGTGCCTTCCAAAGCACGAAGGAGCTCAATATAGTAAATTTTTGATCACCTATCTAATAACCGACCACTGCAAAAGTTGCTTTACTTAAACTATCACAGCCGACCGCGCTAAGCACTTGCGCCATCGAACTCCTCATCATCATCTTCATGTAGAAAAAACCGTAATAGAAAAACGTATAGGAATTGCAACTACAAGAATAAGCGTAAGCGTATATGATACACAGACCATACGGCGTCAAAAAAATTGCACCTCCACGAAAATTACTTTCAAGCGTTATTAACCTTTAACACGCGCCGTAAATAACACTGTATCCCTACCAATATTGGTGTGTCATTTGAAAGCCCATTAAATAAACTGAAAAAAACCCATTTCATTTGAAACAGCTTGATACCGCAAATGTGACTTCAGAAATAACGCCACTTTTGCTCCTCAAAAGGGCCACTAGTACCGCTACCTTTAGAGGGTATAAAAGCGTTAATATAGATTCAAGGGGGGTTATTCGTTATCCAATCGTTGAAGAGGACACACGAGAGGATTTTCACAAAAAAACTACCTTGATGGTGGATACCACTGCTGATGAAGCCGCTCAAGTGTTTGCACTACTGCAACCAGGGATTCGGCAGTGTGATGTCGCTCGGCAACTGAGCTTGAGCCGTTTTTTCGATTCGAAGAGTATAGTGCTTCCTGGTGACCGGTGGCAATGTCCGGAGGCATGGGTCTGGTAGACGTCGCTGTACCTCGGAGAGAGACGACCGACTCATCGTATCGACATCTCTAAAAAATCGGTCCTCTAATGCTGTTGAGTTGCAACAGATGCTCCAGGCAGCTCTCAGAACAACCGTAAGCGTTTCTACGATTAGATGAAGACTGAGACAGAAGAAGATAGCGGCTCATAGAACTGCTACGGGTCCAAAATTGATCGCAGAGCATCAGCGAGCCCGCTTGCAGTTTGCTCGCAACCACGTCAATTGGAACCTTTACCAATGGAGAGCTGTTCTCTTCTCAGACGAAACGAGTGTGTGCGTTTTCTGCAACGACAGACGCAAAAGAGTGTACAGAAGACACGGGGAACGTTTCGCCCAAGCCTGCATCCAGGAGACGATGGAATACGGCGGCGTTTTCTGTGTGTTTTGGGGCGGCATGTTGGCCGATGGCAAAACCAGCCTTGTCCCCGGTCTCCCGGACTGGAGATGCTCGCGGGCAAGGGTCGCTGACTGCTCATCGGTACGTCACAGAGATCCTGTAAGAGCATGTGGTCCCCTATGCCCTTTTGGAGAGGGGTCCACATTAATGCACGACAACGCTCGCGCTCACACTGCATTAATTGTGCGTGCCTTCAAGAGGTTGGGATCTCTGTGACCAGATAGAGCACTTCTGGGACCATTTGGAACGCAAGATTCGGTCTCGTGATCCCGCTCCCACGACTTTCCAGGAGCTCGAAGAGGTCGTTAATGAGGAATGGGCCAGTATCCCTCAGAAGAGCTCCTTAAATTGGTAAGATCCATGAAGAGCGTCAAGTCATCTTCCGGGCAAGGTTAACACTAGGTTTTAGGTTAGTTTTAAGAACCTTTAAGTATTTTTCTTTTGTGTAATTAATCGGTTTTTTAATTAAGGATTTTTATTGTTTATCTGAACTTTATTGTTTTTAACACTGTTCCAATAAGAAATTTAAAATAATTATTTTGTTTTTAAAGTTAAATTAATGGGCTTTTAAATGACACTAATATTGGTGGGGGTAAATGCGTGAGTTAAGGGATATAATAACGCTTGAAAGTTATTTTCACGCTGGTGCAATTTTTTTGACGCAGAGTGTATGTGTGCCAACTAACGTTGCGATATGTGGGGAACATAAAGTTGATTTTTGGGTCACTTGCGCTAAAGAGAAATATTTTTTTTATATTTTAATTACTTTTTATGTTTCTACGTACCATATGAAGCAAAATAACTGATGGTTTTATTTTAATTATCGTTGATATTGCATGCCGAAATGGTTAATAAAAAATTGTTCCTATTTCTTTAGAGGTCTATGAAAAATTCTTCTAATTTTATAAAAAAATAAGTAATTTCATTTTATAAAATGCATTTCTACTTAGAATCATATTAAAAGACAAATCAATAAAATATCCATCCATTTTTTTAAAATTCCTGTCACTTCGACCTATGGTTAGCTTAAACAGGGTACACCAGAAGGTTAGCTATCTAGGGTATTATAACTAAAGATTGGCTACAATATTAAAATAGAAAACTTGATTTAGAATCTATAGCCATTTCGAATATTTTGTCATCGTTGTCCTTGTCACCAAACAGTGTTACATACAAAGCTGTATTTTTTGGTCTTCTATATTAAAGTATATCTGTGCTTCTCTAGTAGAAAAAAATAATGCCTTCTCCAAGTTGATGATAATTAACACTTATGTATTTCTTTTATTTATGGAAATTTGTTGAAATAAATATGTATTTTTATGTTATAAAATATTGTATTAAATTATTATTATATACATAATTATGTATAATATTTAATCAGAAGAAATACGTAAGAAATGTTTTTACTTTATTCTTTGCTGATATTTTCCCTTTTTGGAATTAATTAAAGTTAGCCATTATAAAAATAAATATAAATTCAAAGAAATTCTGTCGCCATTTCACAATTTAACATACACAAGATAGCCACGTGATCTGCTAAAGTAACGTTATTATTTCTTTGTTAAATGCGCTTTTGATTCTTTGACTAAAATAAAAAAACACGATAAGCTTTTAAAAACACTTAGTAGTAAATGTTAGTAGATGGCTTGTGTAACATTAATATTATTTTTTGGTCCAAAGAAACATCTTCAGAAATAGTGATTATTTTTACGTTATAGATATAAACTGCGAGTTTTCAAATGTTATCTTTCAAAATTGAACAGTAGTTAATAAAAAAAAGATAGCTAAATAACCAGGTGTTCCTGGTAATTATAAAAATATAAGAACAATTGCGACCTTAGGTAGTGCACTATAAACTCGCACTCAATTCTCTGAGCTCGTAACTACTTACAATAGCTCATATTGTATTTTAACTAACTATATTATTAATTGAACGAAGATATATTACAAAAAAATTAGAAATAAGTATGTAGTTTCTATAAGTTTCTTTAAGACCTTGATGTGAAAGTCGTAAATGCAATCCGCGTGGGGTTTCGTACACAGCTCCTTCTAAGAAAATGGACGCTTGTAGCTTAGATATTAAAGTCGTCAATGGTGTAACCTACACAGTTCCTTTAAAAAGAAATGGACGCTTCTAGTTGATACGAATACATGATCTAAATGGTGTGTCCTTCAAACTAGTGATCTGATAAAATCGGCCTTTATTTACCTAAACATAAGAAATTATTGAATAGTTTACCGATAAAGAGTTGTTTCAAACTCTATATTAATCTTCTCTCCCTTTAATTTGCACTTCACTCAATGTTGGGTACAAACGCCTACAACGAAGAAAGTTTTTATTAGTAAAATTATTTTTTATTTTTAGGTTGATGGCAACTTAGCTAGCGCTAAATTTTTTAGCAAAACCACTGACAATTAAAGTTGCGCAGCAGACATTTCTGTACGTAAAATTGCTTCTGCGCAAGCTTCCTAGTCTATGGTCGTTGCTCAAGAAGTTTGCAAGGATATATTGTATCTTCTTATATCAGTACTTTCTTGAAGTTTAGGTAATTAAGCGCCTGATTATCTGATCACGCCTTATAACTACTCTATTAAGTATGTAAATCCGGTGACAAACAGGTGGTGAGTTCCACGAACGGCGAATTGGGCGCCGACGACCCGACGGCAGGCCACAGCAACACACCCATCACGCAGCCGCACCACGAGGTCGACGTTGTGGACGACACCAAGTCAGTGTTCCAACTGTACGGACGATTATGGTTTTGTTTTCCTTTATTTTTTTACTTTTAATTCTTAGCGTTTTTTTTCACAGCAATCGAACCTCTTTGGGTATTGATGCAAAATTATGTTTTACCCAGCTACACCACTTGGTCGACGTCGTGGACGATACCAAGTCAAGTGTTCCGACTTCACGGACGGTTTTAGTTTATTTTTTTCTTTTTAATTTTTCCGTTTTAAGTTTAGGTTTTGTTGCAAAGTGAAGGGAAGGAGTTTCTTTTATTGATTTTGAATTATGATTTGAATAATGATTTTCTTCTGTTTTTTTTTTATGATTTCTCTCAGACAAATTTTACATTAATACAAGCAAGGATTTTTAGAGAAGTTTTTTTTTTAATAATTTACAGATAAAGTGATTGCCATTTTTACTTTCTTATGCTTCTCCCACACCTGCGCGAGGAAGCTTCGAGAGGCTTTGGTACTAAATGTGCTAAAATTAGCGTTCGAAATTTGAAGTAGTTCTTGGTGAAATGATTAAGCGGGCTGCATGTCTTTAGACGCTAGACGATAGCTTGACTAGCAATAATTTGACACACTTAAAAAGGTGGTGAAAAACGAAAAATGGTAAAACTGTACTACTTCCGGGGCCCAAGTATTGACACCACTATTTTTTGATTGCGGTCAGTCAAGTCTCTTTGCAAAATCTCCATACCAGGGCGCTAATAGTTTTTGAGAAAATAAATGGTAAAAATAATTGCTTTTCTATAGTAAATAGCTGAGATTAAAACAAAAAGGGAAGATACGGTACGCTCATACTAGCAACAAATGAAATATGCTCCGTCTCAACTACATAAGTAACTCTCACGCACGCACACTTCTGTAAATGAAAATTAAATCGAGCGAGCGAGATAGAACTGCACACACGCTTCAACCACGGTAATATTATCTATACAGTATTGTGACTCCGCCCTGTCCTTGAAAATAAATGCCTACACCGAACGCTGCGTTGGCACGCAGTAGGGCCGCCAGCCTACAGTATTTTATGTAGTTTTGTTTTTAACGCGAGTGTAGGTAGATTACTCGTTTGTCTCTTTTTTCATCCTAACCACTTATTTATATATTATTCCAGATATTTTGCCCGATGGAAAAACCGAAATACCTAAATATTAGAAACAAATAACGTACTAGTAGATAGGTATATAAAAAATATTCTATAAAGGTAAGACACCTTTCCAATATTTCAGGTAATTTAAAAAATGATATCTCTGGGTGTGTTATTGAAGAGTTCAAGCAACCAAAAACAGCAATTGTGCTGTTGTACGATATTGATCGTCGTTTGTTCTTTTCCATACTAAATTATGTAGGTATCTACTTAATTAAATCAAATATTTACAGTACAAAACGCATGTTTAAGCACGGCTAACTGCATAAAAAACAATTCAGACCGTTCGGTCGTCGTTGCGGCGCGGCGGCGCATTCGCGACTGGGTGCACGCCGAGAGCACATCGAACTCGAGTGGCGTAGGTATGACTCGCTTTCCGACCGTTTGTATGAAGATAGAATACTGTATGATATTATTACCGTGCTTCAACGCAGCGCGTGCGAAACGGTGAGTCCGCGTCGCTTGGCTTGGAGACTGCGTTTTCTGTCCTCTCTCTACAAACGGCTGAGCTGTATTGCCCTTTTCTTGATAACAAATGGCGAAAAAGTAAAAAACATTCACAAACCATGACTTTTGAGAAAAAACATGGTTTCATAGTTGTACGAATGAAAAGTGTTGCCGAGAAATTTGATATTGAACTATTTATGTACTTTATAAAAGCATTGAAGGTATTGTTTTACCTTTATTACACAGATTATACGCAATATTGTTATATTGAGTGCACATGGAGCGTGTTTGAATGTTCAATTGTGACTAAAGCGAATTGTGGTCATGCATCACAATTTAAGGCATCACTTTTGAGTCGCAAGTTCCGTATCTTCCCTTTTTGTTTTAATCTAAGGTAAATAGATAACACCATTTTCACAAATTTCATCGTTGTTTTATTTTCTTTTTTTTGTGATAAGTCAAAAGAAACAAAGTACATACAGCCTTATTTAAAATATGCAGTGCATGAGTGTGGACCCTTTGTTTAATAATGTGGTTAACAGAAACCTTCTCAAAGAAAAAATGCGAAATCGCAACCTACAAAACTGTGAAGTTTTTCTCTTGGGTCCTTCCATCTCAGGTTCGAGGGGTCTAGAGGCTCCAGACGGAGAGGAGACTCCCCTCGTGGGGAGATGCCATCTGCAATGGAATGGAATACCTATAAAGGCCACTCGCCAATTCTCGACTTTAGATCCCTTTAGGATCGCGCTGTCCCCAAAACCCGGTGACGCTGTAAAGATCATCTGCGACTAACAACATACACATTCAAAAAAATTACTTGAGTCCTGGAAGTACAGTATATCCCGTATGTGCAGCTGTAGGAGCGTAGGTACTTAATCCAAAGTTGCAACGCTAATTTTAGCACATTTTAGTAACAATAAGTCACCCAAAGTCTCGTCACACAGATGTGGGATAAGTGTCAGGGATGAAAAAGGATAAAATTAATCCGCCACATTATTAGCTATTCATTCAATAATGATAATCGCATATTGTGATTGTATCGAACATCTACGAAGTCAAATTGCGTGACGTTCAGTAACTAAACCAAAAATTAGACTAATATAAATACTTTGCCAATTTATACTGCTTTATTCCTAGATTTATATTGATATGGTGTTAAAAGTAACTGCTCTAGCCGAATATCTGTATTATTTACTTCTTTTATAATCCGAGAAACCTTATTCCCCTTATTAATAAACTAAAAATAAGCTTGGATTAATTACTCCATGTCTGGTCTCTGTTTATGTAATGACAAATTGCATTTGAGTGATATAAACAAAACATGGCGTTATTGTTTTAAAATTTAATGGTCACTAACATTATAGCTATTTACGGGATTGTTACCATGTACCTTATTTATTATGAGTCTCCGATATTTCGGCACTGTTGCAAGCGCCATGATCACTTCGTGATCACTCCGTAATCATGGCGCTTGCAACAGTGCCGAAATATCGGAGACTCATAATAAATAAGGTACATGGTAACAATCCCGTTAACAGATATAAAACATGGCGTAACTACTCTATGTTTATTACTCGTTTATTGATAAGGGGGTATGGGTAATATTAATATTTTCAAAAGTAACCCGATCACACTATTCGCGGAACAAGTAGAATTTAACGCCATTCTCAGCTACCTACCACTTTGTACCACGACAGACTCTGTAAATCGTCATGCAGGCAATCCGTGTATTCTAGGTGCTGTTGTTTCTTCAAGCGTAAAAAGAAGAAGTGCGCGGCGCGCGCCGGCAAGTGACGCGAGCGTGCCTGACCCCGGACCCGCACCCGCCCCGCACCGACCTAGTACCAAGATCGACCGGTTACTGTACTATGCCCGCTCGCTAGTCCAAACTCAGGAAGCTTTCTGCACCGAGTTGATAGATTAATAACATGCTTACGCGCTAGCGATACCGAGTCCGGCTAGTCCGAACTCGGATGCTTTTTCTAACGGTCTCGGACAGTTTCTATACCATGCCTGCGTGCCAGCGACACCAAGCCCGCGCGCTAGTACCGAGTACGGACGCTTTCTATACAAAGCTTGGACGCTAGTACTCAAGCTCGGTCGCTAGCGATACCAAACTCGCACGCTGGTACCAAGCTCGGTTGGTAGCGACACCAAGCTCGCACGCTAGTATCCAAGCTCGGATGCTAGCGTTACCAAACTTATACACTACTACCAAGCTCGGGAGCTAGTTGTGTCGAGCGGTAGCGGTGCCAAGCTTGGACACTAGTGGCACGAAGTTTGGTTACTAGTGGTGCGAAGCTTGGTTACAAGTGATACCAAACTTGGACACTAGCGTTGTCGAGTTCGTACGCTAATGTACGAAGCTTGGTTACTAACGGCGCTGTACTTAGACACTAGCGATACCGAACTTCTATCGTTATCGAGCTTGGACTAGCTACGCCCACACAGGATTTCCAGCTAAATAAATGTAATAATTTGTTTTTTTCCTATATTTCCGCGCAGACCATACAAACACAATTGAAAGCTTTGAATTAAATATTCCCACAGTATATGTACACGAAAAGCCTGGAAAGAGGCTGAGACTTTAACTTTTATGTTGTGCTTTATTTAAGCGTGAAATGTAAGCAATCTTTTCCCCTTAATCAGTTTAATACACGATCTTCTCTGGTTATTTAATTTAATAAAAAACTGTGCTAGTTTAGTAAACTCGCCCATAATTTTGGTACGGTCGGGCAAGAAAATGGTGTACCAGTTGAAATTCACAATTTCTACAATATAACAATTAAGTTTTCAATTAAATTACCCAAACTCCACAGTTTAAAAAAAAATGTTTAGCAAATGGTTTTGTAAGTGAATAATGTTTTTTTGGCCACTTTACTCAATGATTCTCACAATAAAACTGTATACAGTCTGATGATCTACAGATTTCTGGATTATGTCATATTATATTAATGTATTTTTTTCTATGTAAAAATTATATATAAATAAATAGCACGAGTCGATGGAACAAAATTATTATAAAATTTTCCTTAAAGAGAAAAATATTCTGAAAGGACTTGTTTAAAACAACAGTTTTAAGCAGGTTATAAAGTGCTTTATAACCCGCTTAATAGTGTGTGCTTAAAATATTATAATTGGTGACATAATAGTTTTTGTAATTCTTGTCTCTTTAATTATTTCTGTCGATTCGTTTAAAAACAAGTTATAAGCAATATTAATAGTGAACTATTAGGTATAACTTATAATAAATTGAAAGTTCTTAAAACATGTTTGATGTTGTTACTAATTGCGTTATTGTATTTAATATCCTTTTGGGAAGTGATCACACGACTCGTGATGTTTACCAACAAATAACGTTTTATTATATTTATTGAATTCACTACAATAATTGTGTTAATTATTTTTTATTGTCTGTAAAACTTTGTATGTTGTCTAATATTTTAATATGTATTGCGTACATGTTTTTTGTATATTATACACTATTTATAAGGAAGCCCCAAATTATAATTCAAGCTATTATCGTCTTTATTTTAGAAGTAAAACGGTCTATAATGGCATTGACTATGTTGCACTATACCCAGCTAAAGAGATATTTCGATATTTTCCGAGCTGTTGTTGTTACTATTGGGAATTTATGAATTAAGTAATAGTAACATCCAGCAGAAATTCTTAATTACAAAATCTGATTGTTAACAGCTTTCCTTCGTTTCTGAAATATGCAATGTCAATTATTTATTAGTTAATTTACACTTTGATACTCAAACTGTGACAGTGAAGCATAATCCGCGTATGTTAACTCTCTTTAATCAATCTTCGTCTTTTATCTATCAAATGAAAAAGCACGCGAGGCGTACCCATAATTAGGTTAAGGTGTTAAACGGGTACAGGACTTTATTTTCATCGGATTTTCAATCTTAACGTAAAGTTGATAGGTTCCAATTTTCTGGTGGTTACTGCTTTTAGCACTGCCTTCAGATGATCTCGGGCGTACACAGCCCATACGTTAGGGCGGGCGCGGTCGGTCGACAAATATTATTCTATTTTGTGTTCCCGTCCGTAGTGAATTACGTTACATTCTCAGCGAACTGACGAACGTACTTGTCCCTAGTTTTTGGGGAGCGAGAGTACCTCATCATCCTCCTTTCATTTTTCTCAAACGATCGTTATCGATAGCTATCATCCCCCATCGTCAAGCCTAGTTAGAAAGAGATAGCACTCGTAGTCACTCGTCCGTTTGGAAACTCATGAACGGGAGGGCATGCATCTCGCATCGACGATGTCCATTCCAGCACATAAATCGAACAAATCAGCCGATTTGTAATTTAACACTACACATTTATAATATCATACAGCCGTAGTTATAAAACAAAATACTTAGTAGTCGTGTATTGCTTTATCTCAATATAATGACGCCGTTTTAATAATTTCCTTTATGTATGTACTTTACGTTCATATAATTATTATCTGTGAATGCGTTGTAATTTTGATTTTTTTTGTTTGTTACATAAGTAATGGATTACCATAACATATAGTGGATATGGCGAGTTGGTAATGATGTTTGTGTGTTGTTGAAATATTACTTCGTCGTGGCGGATTGAATATTGCAGACGGTCGGGTGTTATAGTGTATTTTATATTCAGGTTGTGATAAAGGAAGTTGGCCAACACATGTTTGACATAACGTTGTTTTGTACTGTTGTAAATTGGTTTTGTGGGCAGCTCAATCTCCCGGTAGGAAGTGTTAAAGTACATTTTTGTAAGCGAGGTTGCTTTTGTGTATCGACAACGTTATAGGGAGAAGTACTAAGCGTTTGCAATGTTCGACGAGCCTAGTATGCATATTTTAGGTTTTATGTTTATATAGTCATCGTATACTAAAGTTCAGTTAAGTTCAATATGTGCGGCAAACGAGTATGATACATAACTATTATTATTATTATTTAAAATTGGCTCCGTTCCTATAGTGAGGCCGCATACTTTAATGTCTTATTCATGCCTATAGTATGATAGTAAATAAATGAGATAACAAATAGTTACAAGCAATAAATGAAACAGATAATATGTATTGTTCTATCTTTTTCACCCTGTACGCGACTCAGTTGCGAACAGTTTATGTTCAGGATTCGCTGAGCTGTTTCCGGTTGAATGAAATGTTATATTTAACGTGCAATAATTTATGTAGACATTCATTTATGACGTGTAAAAAAGAAAAAAAATGTGTAATTCGTTTCGATAGGTGTATCCCGTCGAGTCCCGAGCGAACTGACTTCTATTCCTACAAGACTGAATGTGACATTTCACCTTGTGTACAAACGACTACGCGACTCTGGGCTCATGTCAATTTAACATTATCGCGATCGCTATAATTTCGTAATTTAGTGTTAAGAGGGAGTTTTGTGTACCATTTCCACCGACAGATTCGTAAAAGATTGGATTTAGCTAAATGCGAATTGTATTAAAAGGAGTGAAGGTGATTAAAGTTGCACACCGTTGGCTCCAAGCGGTAACCACCGATTGCTGTATGCAATTATAACCTTTAATTGTGAATGTTATAACAACACCCTATAATTTCTTATGCTAATGTAAAAAATTGTTCACGCGCCTGTCGATGGAAATCGTATAATAGTATTTTTTGGAAACTTAACATCAAGATGTTTTCTCCATAAATATCGGGGAGTACTGCGCCGGCCGAGCCTAGTCCAGTCATTCCAAAGTATTGTGTGCGGTTTTAGAGAACCCTTGATAGGAGCGCTATTTGGATTTTCCATCGCTCTCAACTCTAAATGATGGAGAAGCGATTTCGTACTGTAGAGCAATTGAGTTTTGAGCAATCTAGCAACGCAATATTTCTGTACGTGCGAAAGGGATGGAGCGATGCAATAATGCCGATTCGCTTATTCGAGTACACTTAAAGCGATTCGGTACAAAGCTATAACATGGTGGCGCTACTTTCAAGAGTGGAGTTGAGTTGCGATAGAGTGAGAGGCATGATCAGTTTGCCCCGTTCGCTCACTGAGGTTAGGTGCAGCATCGCGTATGTTAAATATTGTACAGCTTAGAATCACGATATGTATATTTTTGCTTGGACCGGCGGCGTGGATTCGGCGAGCGTGATTCGTGTAGTGGTTAAGATTTGTATGTGTCATTGTAATCAGCGGGACGCCATCCGTGAACATGGTGACACCGGTTATCTATTGTAACCGTAGTGCGATTGTAGTCGGATGCAGTTATGCGTCGCGCTGATCACTGTGACATAATTTATAAGGTACTTTGATTAGTCACGGATATTGTAGTCATCACAAAATTATATCCCGCATTAGGATTTATTCATATTCATTTCGGCTAAGTACGTTTGAAGTGTTTTATAACATTATAAAAATAAACACTCTTGTTGTGTCGTTTTCATATTTTTAGAAGATGAATAAAAAGTATAGATATTGCGAATATTGTCGATATATGTAAAATGAAGTTTATATTATTATATCGATTCTTTAAATGGAAATGTTCTTTTTTCTTTTTCTTTTTGGTAAATTATTGTGAACAAGTTTGGGAGTATTCTGCTCTTCAAATGGAACGTTAATACTTATTGTACAATCATACAGTGTAATCGAAATGAAAATTTTTAGGTCTTAAACATGATTAATACCATAGTTGTACCTTATTGTTACTTTCTATTTGCTAGATAGAATAATCAAATTAGATTCGGTAACGGAAGTCGAATTTTGTGGTCTGCAACTGCTAGTCGCGATTTTTCCGCGTGGAGTGTCAGGCGTCGAGGCAATGCTTATGAGTCGTTGTCGCAATGACGACACACGCCAATCGGCAACCGTCAATCAAACCAGCTTGTACAAACATTGTAATTCTATAGATAAGTTTCAATCACGATTAAATTTCTTGCACTTGCTGGGCCTATTTCGCCAGTTTCTCGTGAAATCCTCATAACTTTACAGCACTTAACAGAGAAACGAGATACTAAATAGCACTGTGGTCCAAGCACGAATTTTGACAGTTCCGTAATTGTATCATCGAATTTTGTATGGAAGGAGTTGTTTGTTCTTACGTCCGGTAGAGGCGCTGCTTTGTTTTCATAGAAACTTTGTCGATGCGATACGATTACAGAGCTTGCTCTCAAAATTCATACTTGGGCTTCTGGTCATTAAAAAATCATTCCACGAATGTTTTTGTGAGGAAATATGAAATGCAGTAATTACATTATGCATTTATCTAAATATACAATGGTGTTGACTCTGGCAGGGTTTTCTTGACCTAAACTTAAATACGACAACAGTGTATCTTTGTCGTTCTCTATACAGAATGAAAAGGAGAGATTGATGTTAAATTTAGTTTTCAGTTTAGAGAATCATACCAGAATGTACACCACTCTACTACTTTAGCAAAAGTAAATTTATTTTGTATTTACTATGACAGAGTACCTACATACAGCTGTAAACATAAAATTAGGAAAAAACTTTTTTAACCGTAAAAAAAACAGGTGGGTGGTTTTTATCAATGATCTATTTGTATATTTATTGTTGTATGTATTGTCTGAAAGTTTATTCATAGGGAAGCGACGAAATGGACCCTCACGTTTTCATTTTGTCGATTTTGACGACCATTGCGATTATTTATTGCTTCATCGATCGTAGTATGGTAAGCGAGGCGTCGCCACAAAGCGACGCCCACCATTAGTTAATTTAAATTATAATTTTAAAATTTCGCTTACTTAGTAAGTCATGTTCAATCGGTTGGCTTGTGGACGCACGAAGAAGAATTTTTGAACTGTAGTTTATTAACTTTATGTATTATATAAAAAAAAACATGATGCTTTGAAACTGAATTATTATTGTAAGTATATAAAATAAATATTAATATTCATAGAAACAGTTGTCAGTG